CCCACCCTTTCCACCACTCCGGTCGGACCAGCAGAACAACCATCGAGGCCGCAGGGCGTCCAATTTCAGCGTCGGGATCCCTCTCTCTGTTCCCTGCAGGGCCCAGCTTTCGGCGCGGCCATCCTAAGATATACCCTTCTCCGATCGCGCGCACCTTGCGGGGTGTGGAAGGGTGTGGCCGGTCCCGCAACACCACCAGCGAGAGGCCGTGTGCTCTGAGTATTTGAACCCCCCTATCGCATCACCCCGCTGCTTCATCTCCAGGTACCATTCTCTTCCATGATGTGTGAGCAGAGTGCCATCAAACGACCCCAGTGATCACGGAGCAGAAAACATAGGCTTCACCCTCAGCCTGTTACTAATATTTTGCAAATAGACATTGAACTCCTTGTACAGCAGTAGTGATGAGTAATACTCACAAAATTGTTAGTAATTCTCACAAATTTCGTCAGTTACACCAATTTTGTAGCACTACTAAGAAAGGGCATCCTAAGTACTTACTAATTTTGAGAGTATTACTTGCAATTTTGTGAGGATTACGACGCGTCCGTGCAACACTTTCCTATCTGTTTCGCTGCGCCAAAAGACTAGCCTATCTGTTTCGTTGCCCCGAAAGACAAGCCTGTTTTTCGGCGCTCTCTGCAGCGCTGTCTTCTTTTCATTGTGGGTTTGCTAATATTCACAGTAGAATAAAAATTGCTGCGTATTCCTTAAACGATAAGGGACAAATGGCAATTTTTACTTTTTTTCTACTGTTAATATTAGCAAACCCACAATGAAATTTGTGCATACTTATGGCATGTTTATGCAAAGTAAAATGCATAAGGGTTTAGAGTTCAGCAGAGCCGGGAGCTCGCAGCTCGCACTAGCAGAGTCGGGGACCAACCCCTGCGCGAGGCCGAGCCAGAGGCTCCCACCAGCAGAGCCGGGGGCTCTCGCAAGCAGGGGCAGCGCAGGGGGGCGCAGCGTGCTGCGGGACGGAGCGGGACAAAACACATCTCTCAACGTTCGTACATGAAGCCGTTCACATCGCTGATTTGTGTGCCTCGGTATCAGAAAAGTTTGGCTATGAAGAAGAACACTGGCCCGGCCATTCCGCGGAAAGCGTATATCCACACGCAGTTGCAGTAGCGGTGGAGGCGCGGCAGTGGTGGCGGTAGTGGCAGTAGTGGTGTCCCTCACACACCGTCAGCTGAGCCCGTCCGCTGCCCCCTCAAAAAAGGAAAGGGGAAAGGGGGGGGGGGATAACGGATAACACAAACTACATAGCGCCGCTCGCAAAGAATTTTACTTTCCGCTGCTGCGCAAACAAGCAGCGACCGATATTGGCGCCACGTTGCGTTGCACGCGTTAGTCACAGGCGTCTAATGCGCTGCCGACATTCTTTTCTGTCGCGTTGAGTACCGTGCTGTAAATCATGCCGTTTCTCTCTCCCCGAAATGCATGCACCCCCCCCCCCTCCCCCCCTCTCTCTCTCT